ACAGTTTGTAGGGTGTATGGGGGTTAGACAGTTTGTAGGTGGTGAAGGGGGGGTTACAATGTAGGTGGTGAAGGGGGGTTATGACTTGTATGTTGTGATTGAAGCAGGAAGTATGTAACGTTAGGCAATAAGGGAACAAAGGAGTTGTAGGTTTGGGGAGGGGGTTAGGAAGTCGTTAGGTTGTGAGGGGGGTTAGAAGATTTGTAAGTTTGGGGGGGAGTTAGTATGTTGTGAGGGGAGTTAGGAAGTAGGTAGGTTGCGAGGGGGGTTAGAAAATTCCTCAGGGGGGGTAGTTCCTACCCCCCTCTGAGAGGGGGGTAGGAACTTTATAAGTTGTGGGAGGTAGGAAGTTGGGTTGCAAGGGGGTTAGGAAATTTGTAAGTTAGTGAGGGGGTTAGGAAATTTGAAAATTGTGAGGGGTTAGGAAGTTGGTATGGTTGTGAGGGGGTAGGAAGTTGGTAGGTTGTGAGGGGGTTAGGAAATTTGTAAGTTTTGGGGGGAGTTGGTATGTTGTGAGGGGGGTTAGGAAATTTGTAAGCTGTTGGGGGGGTTAGGAAGTTGTGAGGGGGTTAGGAAATTTGTAAGTTTTGGGGGGGAGTTGGTATGTTGTGAGGGGGGTTAGGAAGTTGGTATGTTGTGAGGGGGGTTAGGAAGTTGGTAGGTTGTGAGGGGGGTTAGAAAATTTGTAAGTTTGGGGGGGGACTTGGTATGTTGTGAGGGAGGTTAGGAAATTTATAAGTTGTGGGGGGGGTAGGAAGTTGGGTTGTGAGGGGGTTAGGAAATTTGTAAGTTGTGAGGGGTGATAAAATTTGTAAATTCTGAGGGGGTTAGGAAGTTGGTAGGTTGTGAGGGGGTAGGAAATGTGTAAAATGTGATCTAGGAAGGTGGTAGGTTTTCTTGGGGGTTGGTGGGGTTTGAGGGGGGTTAGGACGTTTCCAGGTTTAGGAAGGATAAGGATTCTTTTGTTTGTGGGTCGTGAGTGGGTTACGCAGTTCGAAGGTAATGAGGGGCATAGGAAGTTGGTTGCGAGAGGAGTTAGGGAGTTTATTTGTAGGCTGTGAGGAGTGGGTCTAGAGTGGTAAAGAATCAGACAGAGGTAGACGAACGTCAGTCCGTAACGTCGTACAACTTGAGCTTTGCACAATGCATGATGAAGTTCTAAGTACTGCATCACGTAGATTGGCATCAACGGAGACTGAAAAACGGTAGCGGCTGTTGTATGTCGTCACAACTGTTAGAGCATTCATACATTCACCCAGCAACAAGCCCCCAAGAGTCGAGCTGGGCTATAGTTGGCCTTGATCGTGCCCACCGGCTATTTACAGATCGTCCGACAGGATGCAAAAGACTTACGATGTATGACGCCATGGTAGGTGTAGGTACATTTTCGGGACTGGATTTTCGACGAACTTTAAGTTGACAGATTCGGGGACGTGAGGAGCAAGTTATAACCTAGTGCAGTAACCACGGTAGAAGGATCGGGGGAAATAACTTTTATCATGAGTGGCTGTAAAACTGAACATTAAAATAACTGTTCAACAACGACAGCAGAGCAATATACAATGTTACCATCGTTTCACGTACTTCCTCCATATCGGTCCGACATTTTTGTTGTACCGGACCCAAATCTATTATTTTGTTGAAACAATTGCCGCGCCCCTATTCCGAAACCCCCATGTTACGATATGTTGCAGATGTTCGGTTAAGCGCGCGTCATCTGTTGCATCTGATGGCGTGTCCAATTAGGATTGCGATTAGGGACGCAGATGTTAGGCTCCGGCTTCCTACACTGCTTGATAGAGAGTAATATCGATCGATATCAGTGATGTAAATGAAGACATGATTTGCATAAATAATACGAAAGCCTAGTCCTGTAGTAGTAAATGATGGCAATTTCATTCTGGGGGAACTTGGAAGTTAAGTTGAACATTTTATTTATTAGATATAAATGATGCAAATCAACAAGCAATCTATACAATCAATACTAGTGTAACGCAGTAAATAAAATGTTGATAAGAGATTCTACAATACTGAAACATATCTAAGATGTCTTATACAAGAACCCCAGTTCCTTGACCCAGACCCCCCAGATACACACAGAATGGCATCCTGCACATGCTGGACCGGAACAGGAGGATCAAGCCGCGCCCGGAGAGGTTCCAGTCCACCAAGGAGAGGTTCGACATCGTCGTCACGTGCGAGGAGAGGGTGTACGACCAGGTCGTGGAAGGTACCGCCATCTTGAATTCTCAAGGTCAAATGTGTGTCAGGGGGGAGTAGTGTAACGATATTGAAGATTCATTTGGTCAGTTTGTTTACGACCAGGCTGTGGGAGGTACCGCCATCTGAGATTCTCAAGGTCAAATTTGGGGGCGGGAAGGGTTTTATAATACGGTCGTGCGGCCGGTTTGGTCAGTCTCATGACGTCACGTCGTGGAAGGTTCCGCCATCTTGAATGTTCAAGGTCAAATGTGTTTTTGCCAAAGTTAGGGAGCATGGAGAGGTTGTTCCGTACCCAACAATAACAAAAGATACCAGTCCACTTCCAAGATGCACGGAGACAACGCAACCGCAAAAAGGATGGACACGTTGTACGATGCAACTTTTTTTTCTGACGCACACAACTGTCTACTCTTGTATTTTATCCCTTTACAATAACATTCAAATGTTGTTATGTTTATTTTTCTCTCAGATTTAGAGACGAGAGACTCTAGCGCGGATGCACCAGTTCACGTGATCAACATCGACATCCAGGACAATCACGAGGAGGCCACGATAGGAGCCTTCCTTATATGTGACCTCTGTCATATGGTAACGTCAACTCGCATATTCTTCTTCATAATCTACTAACTGTAGTCAGTAATCTCCGCATAGCCTCTACCAGACTTCAGAGGTAGTTGAAAAGAGTAGAGATAAACAGAAAGCATGCCGGGAGAGTTAGTCTGCTAAAAGAGTGCGTTTTGCCGCCTCTGAAGCCTCACCTGGTAGAGGCCGATGCCCGTGGTCTCGAATTCTGCCTTATCATTTTTGTCTGCTTCGTAATCTCAGCATGTTTGCTATTTGCACACTACAGATATGCAAGTGTTTAAAATATTCTTGAGAAGGTCTTGATAACACCGTTGTTTTTCAATGTGATGCCCTAAAGTTTTAGGGTACCCATGCCAGTGGTACTATGAGCGTTGGCACGCATTATTCTTGTTTCTTTGTTTTACCAGGTTTATCAGTTTTTTATGCTGCTGCTGTTGTCTTTTTTAGCATCAGAACAGTGTCATAATAACTCCCAAAAATCATATGAAATATTTCACAAATATGTTACCCTTTCAACTACCAACATTTGACCCTTCGATCTCATACTCCAGCTGCAAGACTCGGATGACCTTGAGAACGACATGGATGACATCCTCCAGGCGTTCGAGGAGAAGTGCAATCGGCCCATCCTGCACACAGTGTCCTTTTACTGACGACTGGCCTGCCCTGTACACCGTACTGTCCACGATATTTATGACTGGCCCTTCACGGATACCGTAGTTTTTAGGCTAGTGACAACTGGCCTGTCATGCACACCGTACGTTCTAGGTTATTTATGACTGGCCTTCACAGAGACTGTGTTTTTAGACTACCGACAACTGGCCTCTAGTGCACATCGAACTTTCTAGCTTATTGATGACTGGCCTTTCACAGACACCGTGCTTTTAGGCTCCTGACAACAGGCCTCTCAAGCGCACCATAATTTTCAGGACCGCCGTAGAATCACACGTTTTCTTCCGTTGGACAGTTAGGACTTTCGCTGCCAATCAGACAAAGACAAATTTTGCTGCAATTTGATAAGTTCACCACGTGGTTAGTGGACATAGTCTCCAAGCCTTTTTGTGTCTTTGCTGACTTGTTTTCAAGTTTTCTTTTTTCTTGGTCGTGCGTCTCCAAAGTGCCGCATGTTTTCCCTACCGCAAGCTTCTTACCAAAGTGAAAGTTGAAAAAAAAAACAGGAGCACAATCTATCAAAACCGGAACTGCCAAATGTGCAGGAAAACAGAGTAATTTATCTGTTTTGTGATTGCACGACATTTATTTACTTGCTTGATGTCTCCTTATATTACCATCCCAACGTATATACATCTGCCAACGTTGACGTTTTAGTGCAGTATCCAGAACACAGTATTGCTTACTAGAATGCCATATGTATTTAGCTGAAGTTCGGTTAAGCACCTGTAGTTATACATGTACGTCACTAGCAATAAGTGCTAATTATAATAATTTACCCTCCAAGCAGATACTAACAGACAGAAAGACTGCCCATACGGCTTAAGCTATGGTACTGATGATGATGAAGCAGAGGTAGATTGAGAGGCTTGTGACTTCATCATCATCATCATTATACATGATGTACGAATACTTTTCTGACAGGTGCTGGCCTATTGGATACTGCCTTGTCAGTTGCTTACGACTCTGCCACCGAAAAATCTGCTTGGAGATACTAGTAGCTAATGTCGATCATCCTCCTGCTAACCCCCAGTCGTTTATTTTGTAAATAATGTATAATTTTATTTTTACGTAATCCTTGCTAGGTGATTGGGATATGGTTTGGCGATGGTACGATCGTTTCCTTTGCTTAAGGTGGGATAGAATAAGACAGTTAGCAAATCACTTGAAATAAAGATTATTGACGGGAAGAAGGACGTTCTCGACGATTTTTGTTTGTGTTGCATGAACGTATCACATACCTTGTACTTTCACAAACTTTTACTGCACTGAGTTTGATCAAGGAAATTTTATGACAACCATGAGATCTATCAAACATCTCCAGCTGATACTGAATTTCTCCACCGGCGTGAAAAGTATATGAATCTTGGTCAGAGTTGCCAAGAGTCAAGCCAAGAAGTACAGCCGTCACGTATGGGATTCGTGGTTGAAAAATGAACATCTCAGTCTAGATATTTGCAGCATGCATTACCACTAGACGTTTGTAATATATATCTCCATATGTTACCTAGATGTTCATGGCGGCCTATACTCCTTAAAGTAAAACAAAAGACTAAACTACGTCGCCTTAAGACAACACGTATGTATGGATGTCAATAGTTTATTCGGGATGCACATCAAATGTCAGCATTCAAAATTGTTCCCAAGATCTAATGACAATATCTCATTACAAAACCATCCCGACTCGTGTTGCCAGAGTCCAGCCGACCAGGAGAGCCACAGCGGTCCACACGGAGGCTGACATCCCGGCAGTGGCGGAGGACACGGCCCCGGTACAGGCACAGCACACTCGCGCCAGCGCTGACACCATGTAGTTCCAGAAAAACACCTGGGGAAAAATGAAAGGCTAGTATTGAGTTTGTGAGAAGCAACTTCCTCCAGCACCAAGAGGCTAATGTGCATCCTCTGTTAGCCTGGTTATCAAACCTATTTTAGCTCCCGAGTCCTACATCCGGATCCTCTCCGCAAATTTAGATGTAGGACTCGGGCGTTAATATAGGTTTGGTAACCAGGCTATCCTCTGTTGTATTGAAGACTGCGATGGTTTACCCTCACCAGATGCTAGAGGCATGTTTAGGAAGAACAGTGCCTATACTGAATTCGGACTCATGGTTGTCATTATAGGTTTTGGTTACTAACGTTAACCTGCATGCAATTCTCCGTAGTTACCACCAGCTCCATATTGTCCTTGGGTTACCCGTTGTAGCTAGAGGAATTAGAGAGCCGGTGGTACGAAGAATGGCACCCAGGCTTAGTATTTACTGAGTATTTGATCATACTGAGCACGGTAGTCTGACCTCTTAGACCGGAGATCTGCCTGTAATAAGAAGTCCAGGCCCAGTACAAGTATTGCAGTAGAGAGTGTTCGAGTTGAAGGTACGCCTGCTGTTGTAGGGAAATGTTATTAGGAGAATCAGGGTTGTTTGATATTGTGTGATATATACCTGTTTCGAGCGGAGATGTGCCTGTACTGAGCCCGGGCCCATGTTGGTAGACAGGGTGAGGTACTGCCGGCCGTGCTGGTCGTACTGCGGCCACGTCACCGGCAGATCCTGCGAGTTGGGGTTCCTTGGGGCGGAAGAATGTACTAGTATTTAGATTTAGCGTGATCATTGGCTCAAAAAGACGACCAAGGCTAACAATAAGAGCAAGTAGAGAAAAACAAATAAATGTTACATGCACATCATAATCAAGTTTGATAGTTTGACTAAGCTTTTTCACCCGTGGGTTTGGAATCTAGACCTGTACAAAATTTAGAGTTTCCACAAACTTAAACATACCTTGCTTATCTGTCATTTATGACATTTAGATACACAAAATGTAGATGGAACCTGGCATTAGCAAAGGGGACTTCGTTCCTATTCCTATCCTAATTTGCAGCTTCAGCAGTTTCTTAGTTAAAAGAAAGAAAAGGGACATTGGTTCTCCATTCGCAAATAATTTCATATGGTTGGTGAATGATTCAATATCAAGGGTCCTTATTCACAACCACTTGTTTACAAGAAAGAGCCAATATTTTGATGACCGTCTGTTATCTTCTCAGGGAATTGCCCTGATAAAGATTCCAGACGGTTATCAAAAGGTTGGCTATTGTAAACAGGTGGTTGCGAATAGCTTCGGAAGATGTTATTTATACCCGGTTTTGGCGAAGTTGGTCCACATTGTCCTCATCCGCCTCCCCAACAGTTTCTCTTGGTCAGTCATCATGTCGGAGTTGTCAGACGGCCACAGGTAGTAGTTCTCCTCGGCATGGGCGGCTCCACCTGGGCACAGGGGTGCATGATAACAGTCTTCAGTTCGTTGTGTTCATTCTATACAGAACATGATTGGGACCAGTATTTCATTTCTCTCAACATAGACACTCCTTTCAATACATACACAACATCAGATACAGATTAATCACATAGCAGAGTCTTCATCAGCATCGGTGGTTCTTTTGGAAACAGAGGAATTTTGAATGAATGAATTCGAATAAACGAATTACATGTTTAAAAACATAAGCATACATGAAGACATCTAAAATGCAATAGTACATTCGGCTTCCTCTCGCTTCTTGATATTATTTATTGAAACCTTTATTTTGTCCATTTGTCCACGTATCTGTGAATTCCTCGATCTCTTGGCTTTTATTTTCGATAAAGTGGCTTGACACTCCTTTGAATAAGTATAACACCTGCTGGTTCAGTTTTGGTTTATCTATTTTACCAGATCACCTAACAATAAAGGTATGGTCACCCGTGTATGGTCTTGTATGGTAAGATAGCATTCAAATATTACATTATAATAATTTTATTATAAACATATTAAAAATTTATTAAATGCATTATTTACCAATCCATGGGTGATCTAAATAGCTGGTGATGTGATCGAAGTTGTATAGGTACGTCGGATTCCCGGTGTTGGCGAACTCTCTCGCCATTCGTGTTGTCGGGGCAACGAACAGCCAATCACCGTACATCGTCATGAAGTCCAGCTGCATGTCACGTGGGCTGGCCGTGAGGTTTCTGAGGTACTCAAACTTGGCCGCGTGTGTTATCTGCACCAGGTTCGTGTTGTAAGACGCCATCACGTACTCCAAGTGTTCTTGGAAGGTTTCTTCAGAGACGATCTTTTCGTTCAAGTCGTCATAGAGGACGATACCGCCTTCCATGCTAGTGACTCCAAGAATATAGTCCCGGGCTTCCACAGATCCCTCCGCGAAGATCTCCTCCGGTGACGTAGGCAGGAATGTTCCATCCACGATGGGGAGGAAGGAGATGTGGGTAGGGGTCTGTACGGCTGAGGAGGTCGTCAGAACGTCTTGGGCTGTCTTAGACTTCAGGCACGATACAACGTCCTCTGTGGAGGTCCTGTCACATCCCAAGGACTGAGCTAACCGCCTGGCGTCGGCTAGTGCAGACTCCTGTGGGAGGAAATAAATTATTCTTCTCAAAACGTACTTCATTCATTCTGTCCGACCTAACTCTACAGAACGATTAGGAATATCACTGTCAGGCATCGTATGCTAAATAATTTATATAAGTCATGTACTGTGACTGTGCAATCATAATGCGCGAATTAATCATCTATTAGAGTTAAAACTGCCCATGACGACCGATGACATGTGGCCTATGTGGACTGGTGGTCACTAAACATATCCAAGGGACTACCAAACTAGTGGTCACCTTTGGCCAGCAGGCACTGGTCTTTTGGTAGAGGTGCACGTGGTCACCAGCACAGGTGCGACTGTATATCAATGGCCAGATGGTCCTTATGTAGAGATGGTCACTTGTACGTACGGTCAGGTAGTTCTTTATTACCGGTGACCACTGTTGTATGGGTACCGATTTGACCAAGGACGTTATATCACTTGACTGTACTCTTTAAAGTTTAATCAGATTTTGACATGTCCAGAGGACATCAACTATTAGCCAAACTAGAGTTTGCGAATATACTACTGGGGATGGTACCCAGGCTAATCAACTATAAGATTAAAGCAAAAAACGCCTTTGTTCTAGCCTCCACCAGGCCTTTCTACGGGAATACGGATCGTAGAATTCGGCAAGAAAAAAAAGAGTAAAATTGGCCAAGGGAGTCCGGCCGCGGGGAGGTAGTTTCGCGGCCTGTCAAACCTACAAGGCGGCCAAACTCCTCTGGCAAATATTCTCCTATATATAGCCAGCGTAGTTAGTCTGGTTTAGACTACCTTTGTTCCCAGGAAGCCCGGAGTGAACGGGGAGCCGCTCTGTGTGATGGCGCGGCGGAACAGCCCGGAGTTGAGCGGGGACAGGAGATGGAGACTCACCGCCATGCCGCCGGCAGACAGCCCGAATATCGTGATCCTACGGATGGGAAATATTCATGTCAACATATGCATCCTGCTCATTCCTTAATACAGACTGGAGTACAATCGAAAGGTCCAATTTCTTGCGTTGGAAATGACAGTTCTAACTTGCTTCACAATGACTTCTACCAGACACATACAGAGGAAATTTCAAGATTCAGTGTCACAAGGGCGCTATCTCTTACAAGTTCTCATACAAGTCCGTTAGCCCTAGTTGTGTATAGCCTGGGTGCCGTCCTACGTAGTTTTTGCCTAATGTCGCTATTTCGGAGGATGGCACCCAAGTTGTGTATGCTGAAACGAAAGCAATACAGTAGAGAACCGCAAAATGAAATGTATTAGTGTAGGGGGTAGGAAGTGGTGACACATCTGGGGTCAATTAATACTAATAAAGGACAGGGACTTAGTGTCCCTGAGCTCAGTCTGGCTCAAGCCGTGGTCTAGTGTGGTCATCTCTATAGCAGCATCCAGCATATATAACACTAGTAATATTTATTAAAAAACACCACACATTTTGAAGACCTTGCATTTTCTTGGACGATTTCAAGGAGTTTCTTTGATTCGGAGACAAAAAGTAATAAATTATAAAAGTCAGCCATTGACGGAACCTTACCTGTTGACGTCCCCGCCAAAGTTAGCGATGTTGTCCCTGACCCAGCGGATGGCCTGAGTCTGGTCTAACAGGCCCACGTTTCCCGGGGCATGCTGGTCCCCCGTTCCCAGGAACCCGAACACTCCAAGTCTGAAACGGGGAACGAGAGGCTAGTAGAAAAAGCCAATAAAAAAGTATCCGCTATAGGTGGACAATTCTTAAGATCTTTATTTCTCCTTAGCTCGTTCCCGGTAGTTCATTACAACGATCACTTTCTGGACCAACAGTTGGTAGCCTAGGTGCCCTCCAGTTTGTAATGGAGCTCTTAACTCGCTGGCCCGACAAAAAATCATTTCTTTAGCTTGCTAGAAATTGCAAGAAGCACCGTTACAAATCAGATGGCACCCAGCTAACAGTTGGAAGCAAACTGGAGCTAAAAGAATGAAAACCGTGCTAGGTACCGTTTCCTCCTCTTACTCTTAAAATGTCTTCTCAGAGACGTAACATGCAATCAGTCTAAGAAATATTATTTGCTACAACCGTACAGGGCGACTGTGTTGGCGGCCATGATATGCAAAACGGCTAAATCTCGCCAGATGTCGCTCCTACAGAACTAGATCATTAAAAGTCCACCACCTGTAGTTGAGTGAGACCACGATGACGTTGTTCTCGGTAGCAAGTTGAGTCCCGTTGTTGCCTGACCCCGTCCCGGCCTGCCAGCCGCCTCCGTGGATGTACACCATCACGGCTAGGGGGTCCTGCCGAGTACAAACGGTACAGTGATAATCAGGGATATAGCCATCACACCTACGGGGTCCTGCCCTTCCAATAGTGCCGATACGCTAGTTAATGTACATGCTCGAGGGAGGTTTATGGTGATCTCATATAACCACCAAATGCCCTATGATACCATCAACTTTCTGTATAACAGATAAACCATATATACATACATTTGTAATTATGAAAATAGCGTTCTTGTAATTGTGCCCTTTACACACACACACACACACACAATCACATCTGACCACAACCATCAATTGGTGTGGCAAATCATATGATATAGACATAGATATAGATATTATACATTGTACAAACAAACGCATACCTGTGGTGGCTTGTACTGTTTATGTTTTATACCAGTTAATACAAAATACAAATCAGCAGAAAATCAGTGCCCACATGCCCACCTCAGTGCTGGATCCCCTAACCGGCGCATACACGTTCAGGTACAAACAGTCTTCGCTCCACGGTACGTTCACGGTGGCGAACGGCTCGGCAAACCCCTGGAGGTACATGCTCTCCTGCGGGCACGCCGACCCGTAGCCGGTCGCCTCTCGGACCCCGTCCCAGGGCTCGGGCTCCTCCGGCGGCATGAAGCGCAGCTCTCCGGTCGGCGGCTTGGCGAAGGGTACGCCGAGGAACGTGCGCACGCCCGCGCCGTTGTAGTCGGTAATGTAGCCGGAGATTCGCCCGTACTTTGTGGGGACTTCCGACTCCTGTGCCGCACAGGACGTGGAAACAAGCAGGAGGGAAAGTAGGAGGAAAGGAAGGGCGCTCATCGTTATGGGTGTGTTCCAAAGTTACAGTGAGAAGGTTCAAAGTTGAGCCTTTCGCCACGACAAAGGCTTAGGGACGACCTTTGGACATCTAGGTTAAAGTTTGTGGAGCGAGTCCTGACAAAATTTGTTTTAGGCCATTGGTCATCGAGTGACGGCACGCATAAAGCAGAGTGTTACCAATCTGTCCCCGAGATGAATGAACACCTGTCGTGGAGCACGTCGCCAAGGAGAAACGCAACATAGACTGGGACAGGGTAAAAGTATTTGATCAAGATTCCGATTGGTTTGCAAGGGGTGTCCGGGAGGCAATCCAGATCCGCCGACAACTCAATACCTTAAACAGGGACAGGGGGCGTCACTACCTGAAACCTGTATATGACTGTCTCTTGTCGCGTGATTATTACATCAAGTCACGTAACAAGAGAACTCCAAGACGAGATCTTAATCGGGTTTAAGAAAAGACACAGTTCGTCTCGAAAGCTCCCCAGAGTAGCTGAACTTTTGTTGTGTGTTTCTGTATAAATATGTTGTCAAAAGAATGTTGCAACTGTTTTGTACGATATACAGTACGGTTGAATTTTTTTTTGGGGGGGGGGGGCGGACGTGAACGGCCGAAAATTCATGCGGGCGTGGATGTCATCCATATAATCAAATCAACATGGCCTTATGGCTGCGAAACTGGAAACAACAGACGATAAACTATAAAATAGTGATCACCAGTGAGTGAGTGAGTGAGTGAGTAAGTGTGAGTGAGTGAGTAAGTGTGAGTGAGTGAGTGAGTGAGTGAGTGAGTAAGTGTGAGTGAGTGAGTAAGTGTGAGTGAGTGAGTAAGTGTGAGTGTGTGTGTTTCCACTCAAACTAAACCAGTTCCCATTCAGACTAAACATCCCAGTCAGACACAATGACTGCGCTCGACAGTTTATCCAGTCCATGACGTCAGCACATTTCCTAGTACTCTACATTGGACGACTGAGTGAACCAAGAAGGCCTGACGCCGGTGACGTCACTTCCGGGAACCCATGCTATTTAAGTATACGGTGACCAAGCTGTTAGCAGTACAGGCCAAGACGGAGCTTCCCCATGCACCTCTGTGGTTTTCTGACGATGTTTTCAACGGCCCATGTGCTGCTGTTAGCTACCGGCTGTGTTCTGGTACACGCACTGCCACAGGTAATGCGGATAGTCTGTAACAGTCTAGCCTCCTGCGCAGTCTTGTTGGGCGTCGGCGTTATTTTTTCTCTGAGCGACGCGAGTAATATGCCGCCGCGAGGGACGATTTGCTGCCGAGGGAGTTTTTGCCGCCGAGAGAAGGATTCGCGCTCCAACAAGACTGCTTCCAGTCGGCGACTAAAAATGGCCATTAAAAACACTTAGGAGCGATTTGCATGGCCCTTTTTAGTCGCCGACGGGAAGCAGTCTTGTTGCAGTGGTCTTGTTGGAGCGCGAAGGAGGCTAGTAACAGTCTGTAAAAGTTCCAAAACACAGTGTAAAGTGTAGTGTAGTGTAAGCTAGCTCATTAGCCCTTCTGTGTTTGCATGTTATGATAAGGGCAGTAACTGAAACCGTGTAACTTTATTCAGTCACGTCAGAATCTACCAATTTCCAGGTACATCTGTAAATCTTGTAACGTTCTTGGTGATTTTATTTTCACGGTATTCGCGTTGACCTCTCCATCGCAAAGTCATGACATCGCGAATGTCATTTGTTGTAGGTAGTACTACAGCTGGATAACCAGTCTATTGGGAGCTTGCCCGGGCTTTTGGCGGGAATGCGCGAGTTGGCCTGTTGCCTGGTTCATTTTAATCATACTGCAGTGTAGTCCACTTAGTAGAGGTTTTTATTAGAGGTTATTAATATTAATACCAGACTGTGCCTGTTCTTTAGAATTTTTTTATTTTAAAAGATTTTTCTTGTCTATAAGATTTTTTCTCTGTACTGGGTGGATGTTTTGCAAGGCGATCACCGACTAACACCTGTTCACAAAACCGATGGTGCTGATTCAAGACTGCACGTCCAGTCCAGTGGATGCACATCTGGCACGGACGTTTGTTTACTAGGTAGGGGGGGGGGGGGGGAAGGGGAGGGGGCGCCTAGGACCCGACATGTATACGGCCGGACATTTACAGTGCCTTTCATACTAATCATCATCCGTCGTCCCTTTCGGGCGGGGTAAGTTGCTGCATTACCGTACTCCACAGTGCATTGCAAAGGTCATGGACAAGCTAGTAAACAAAGTTGTGGCAGTGTGCCGCTATTGATGCATGTCTTCCACTATTGTCTTGTCTAATTTCAAATGCAGACGCACGGCGCGGTTCTTGTTAAGAATAGATAGAGAAGGATCAAATAGCGCGGTTCTTGTTGTGGAAACAGTAGAGAAGAAGGATCAAAGAGCTTGTTTATTAAGACTCTCCTGATATGTATCTAAAAGACTCTCCTGTGTAAGTTCATCTGGCCCAGATTAACTCACACATGCACTTGCTTCACTCATTTAGATACCTTTGAGCTTTCCGAACCCCCCTGGCTACGGGCATGAGTATGGAACACTAAAAAAGGATGCAACCCTTCCAACTTGGCAAGTTGGCATGCATGTATTTCTATTTCTAGAAAAAAATCAGATTTCATGGAGGTAAAAATTGCTTAGAATTAAAAAAATAACTCTTTAACAGGATCAGGCAACGCTAACTTCAAGCTCTCCGGCAAACGTTACACGACCCTGGGCCTTCCCTACGACACCCAGTCCGTCATTCACTACGGCCCGCGGACCGCCTCCATCAATGGGAAGAAGACTATTGTGTCCAAGGACCCTACCAAGAAGATCGGGCGTTCCAAGGGGTGGACCGACCTGGATGTGCTCAAGGTTAATACGCTGTACAAGTGTGGTGAGTTGTTGGTTTGTTTTATCAGATGTTGTATGATTGATGGATAATGACTGACTGACTCCAGTCTCATCTTTAGTTACCAAAATATTATACAATTTTCATTCATCTTTACCATAAGCACATTTGTGATTTTCTTCTGTATTAAACCTATTAATTTCTTAATTTACTTCTGTATCAGACTATGTTTTTTTCTGGCCCTGGGGCCCATTAGAAATCAGCACTGTACTGAACTTGACTGGGCTACATTGACGTTTTTAAGAATTATTATATATAATAATAATAAATAGAATAAATACATAATAAAGTATGTTTACTGGATTTGTTCCATTTCATTATCTTGTTCTTCTCCCTTCTGTCTAATAACCATTGTAATATCGTTGTCTATTTTTCTCTCGCTAAGACGCCACAGTGACGGGAGAACCGATCGCAAAATGGCAGGGTACAACAGAGCTGACTCCGACTCATGCCGGCAAACAGACAACACCAAGAGACACCATGCCAACGTCTGTCACCATGTCAACCGTTCCCTTGGAGATGACAACTGATGAGACCACGACAGCTACAAGAGTACGTGCAACAAGAGGTATGCCCCTATGTTCGTTGTCTTACAGTAAGTCTCTGGACATCACTTTCTTTGACAAAAACATATACATCCTCAGTTCTCATTTACATCGACGAATGCCGGGGGAACAGTTAAATGGGATAAACCCATGAAGTGTTTCAGAGGTTCCTGTTCAACCTCCTTTCATGCAGTAATAACCGAAAGTTTTAAAGTACTGACGAAGTTTCATAACATAAAAATGGAATGCCAGGAGTGATCTCCAGGCAGATTTAGTTGGCCAGCCCGTAACCAGTTGTCCTCCGGTTACGTCTAGCCAGCTAAAGTGTCTTGCCTCAGAAGAAATCTGGTTCAGGCAATTAGCTGTGAGTGTTTTTGAGAATTAATATTCAGAATGAGCATGACAAAGAAGACGATTTATGCAGTTTTGTTCTCTGTCTCCCAGTTGTGTGTACATTCGACGAAGATCTGTGCGGCTTCACAGAGGGAACCAGTGATGACTTCAACTGGAGCTGGAGTCAGGAGGGTAAGGGCACTCCGTCCAGACGAACCGGACCCAAATCAGACCATACCATTGGACATGGTGAGCAGGGGTTGGCAGACATCGGGAAATGACACGATGTGATTTTATGTTTTATTGGGTCTTCTGCAGTATTGTATTGTACTACAGAAAGGGCTGGAAATTGAATTTGTTATCTTAAAACTATTTCACTACCCTGTGGCGACTAAGGAAGCTGGTTGTTATGACCCTGTAATGTTGGACTACATTATGTAGCAAGTTGCAGAAGAGAGTTTTAGGGGCTGGTCACCATTATGGATGTGTTCAAATGACCGATGGACAAGATCAACAGCTCAATCGTTGAACTGATGCGGAATCGTTTTTTACAGGCCGCTTTCTTTTCATCGAGGCAAATAAGAAGGCACCAGGAAAGAAGGCCCATGGTTTGTCACCTGTGTACAGCACCACAGGGCCGCACTGTCTGACGTTCTACTACCACATGAGGGGTCAGGGCATCGGTTCTCTCAACGTCTATCTACGCACGGTTGGCATGGGAACCAATGACGACAGAAAGCTTTGGTCTCTATCTGGGCCCCAAGGCAACAAGTGGTCGAAAGCGGGAGTTACATTTAACACGGCTGCGAATTTTCAAGTAAGGCTCATTCTTTCTTGCTTTAGACTTGCATGGAAGGGCATGCTAATAATGTCACTATATAGAACAGTGGTATTCGAGTCAGTAAGAAAATATGAAGATTAATTTTACTCATCCTAAGTCACTGACGAAAGATGGCAATAAAATTGCTAATATCGTCAAGAACAGTGGTATTCGAGTCAGTAGAAAATATGAAGATTAATTCTACTCATCCTCAGTCACTGACAAAAGGTGCTGCCATCCGATTTGTAACGGCAACCCCAATTTGTAATGGCAACCCGGTTTTGGTAGGGGGGGGGGTTGTCGATACAAATCGGATGGCAACCAGGCTAGAAAGATGCTATCTGTCAAATATCTAACTTTTCAGAGAGCTTATTCAGCTGCTTGATGTATTTCTTGTTTTACATATGAAAGTGTATGTGTGTTGTTAGAAATTCTTATGGACAAATCTTGAACCCAAACTTCTTACACCACAGAATTCGTTCTGAAAACCAAATGAAATAACTGTAAGTGCTGATGTAGCTGTTATTTTGCAGGTGATTTTCGAAGGTGTCCGAGGCACCAGTGCACAAGGGGACATTGCTATAGATGACATGATCCTTGACACGGGGCCATGTGCATAGCAGCCAATCAGCAGCCCTGATGACAGGTCACATGGGGTCAAGTATGATGTCAGCAATGATGCATTGCTGACATTGACACAGAGCACATCTAACATACTGCACCTATGCAAAACCCAGATTTTTCAGTTTTCGTTGGATGTTTGGTCAACATTGCATCAGAATTTTCCCAGTTGCAGACCATAGACACAACATTTGAACACTATATCTTATTACCTTCGCCAAGAAGGTTATGTTTTCAGGGGCGTTCGTGTATGTGTGTGTGTGTGTGTGTGTCTGTCTGTCTGTCTGTAAACACGATAACTTGAGAAGGCCTTGATGGATTGTCTTCATACTTGGTATGTGGGTAGGTCTTGATGAGACCTCAAAATGATTAGATTTTGGACCCCCTAGCGGCTTGTCATAGTACTGCAGCTGAACTTCCGGTTTTGATATCTCATGATGTAGACATGCTATGGTGATGAAATTTAGATGGTAGGTAGCTCTTGTGCTGGGAAAGAAGTGACGTGAGTTTAGGCCCCCTAGCGGCTTGCTCTGGAACTGCAGGGATAAATTCTTGAAAATATTCAACAGGGGATAACTCAAGAACCGATTGACGGATCGTCGTGATTTTTGGTATGTAGGTAGCTTACATGATGCTTAATATAATTATGTGACAATTATGCAAATATGGATGTAATTTGCATAATTTATGGGGAAATTCTACAAATCAGCTGTATTCCATTATAGGACGATTGAAGCTTGTGACATTGGTAATTGACAACGAGAGAAACACAGGAAGATGTTGATTATGTTAATAATGACTTAATTTGCATAATTAATGAGAAAATTTTATAATTATGTAATGATAACTGCCTGGAATTTCATACTTGTGGTATTTGAAAGTTAAATTGAGGTGAACATCATTAAACATAATTTATTCAAATCAGGACCTCATTTGCATAATTGTTTATTAGGAAATGCTAGAATGCATTCTTTGTTAATATAAGACTGTCTTCTGGTTGAGATTATGATAAAATAGATATAATTCATGAAAATTAGGTTCCTATTTCTTAAATCAGGGGGGAAGTAATCTATTCTAAACTTTGTCATAAAGATTAACATCATTTGGCGAAGGTATGAGATCGGGGAACTCTAG